TTGGGAAGTTTGTAGAGCACTCGCGAAGGTGAGCTAGAGTTGCCTCAAGGCGCCTTAGGTGATTCACACTACTTTGATACTCTCAGTCCAAACTTGCCACGTGTATCATAAGTCGATAATGCACGCTAAAGCAAGCCTGCGCACTGCCGCACAGCCGGACGTGTCACAAAACCCTCGTTGCTGGCGATTTAGGCTGTCTGTGACGTAGGCTGTCTTTAAAGCAGGAATCAATTGTGAAATAAAAAAAAACGTGAGCGAAATTGCTGAGTCACTTATGTCCGTTGTCATTACAGTAATTAACTTGGACATTGAAAGTGCATGCAGCTTATTCTTTTACCAATCGCACCCTTCCCCTCATTACAGTGGTTTGCATCTCTCCCTCCATATGACAATAGAGTGCTCCCCCTGGAGCACTGCCTAAGTATGACCTCAGGTGTCCTGCGTGGCACGATGAGAATAAGAGACTCCCCCTGGAACTTAGTCTCGACCCACCTGTCCGGGAAAACGAAGACAAGTAGTCACACCGCTCATGGTGGTGGATATAATGTGATTCAAATCCGAATACGTGGTAGTATCCAGTTTAAGCGTTCTAAAACAAATATCATACAGCGCTTCATTGTCGAACGAAAACACTTCATCGGTGGTCTCGATCAACTGATGAACAGCTAAAGTGGCGTTGTAAGGTTCAATGACAATCTCGGAAACTTTCGGAGACGGGAAAACGCTGACAGCACTCAGAATCCGGTCGGGGTATTCCTCTTGTAGATGGTAGAGTATCAGCGTACCGAGCCCAGACCCCGTACCGCCTCCCAGAGAATGCGCAACCTGGAAGCCCTGGATCGAGTCACATGCCTCGGCTTCTTTTCTAACCGCGTCCAAGACCTCCTCCAGAAGGTTACATCCATTTGTGTAAAACCCTTTGGCCCAGTTGTTCCCTGCTCCACTTTCGCCTGTGATAGAGGAAAATACTAACAATTAGGTACTAACTTGTTACTCGATCTATCTGTCTAAACACGAGGGTCGTAATGACAAAGCAGGAGAAAGTTTGATCTTCATCGTGGTCAAATGTCTCAGGCAGTAGCTTTTATCTATCACGGTTTTCTTTTATTCACGATGAAGTAGAATGTGAACAAGGACATATAAAGCAGTTGCTGATCACGAGTGTAAATATATCATCATTTTTTCTCTGGAGTAAACGAGTTTCTTTGATCTTCAAATGCTTCACACTTTCCCAGCCGAAAAAAATTGCTTTGACAAAGGCGCCGGCTAGTCTGCAGGAACCTTCATACAAAACACTTCGAACTTTTTGGTAAAGTTCCAAACATTTTGGTTAATCAGCAGGATATTTGAATAGTAAAATTGATAACCTTATCTTTGAAGTATTTTTCTCACTTTTCTTTTAGTTTTGTTTTTTTGGGAAAATTTCCGTCATCTGATCGCGGTCAAGACTGATGGCAGTGAGACGACCTCTTCAAGTATTATGATCACAATTGCGAAATAATTAAAGAGAGTTTTTAAATGTAAATGAATGAATGTCAGTACTTTATTAACCACAGAATTCAAACAGGTAAACTTTAACACTGATTTACATTGAAGCCGTGTTAATTAAAATGAATTAAAACTCAAGTTTATTATTTTGACCTGCTGCAATCGAACTTAGCTGTCCTTTCACCAGTATTGGTCCTGTCTCACGTTTGATCTATCAAGGATTGATAACTGAGATCTCGACTATTTCTTAGACATTAACATTAGGCCTACAGTGTTAGCATCACACAATTAAACCAACCAATCAGACTGTTCCCTTGCAGCAATGACAATAAAACTAAACCTAACCGTCTCTAGTCGACCCACTGTAGGGATACAATGGTTATCTCGAGGAATAGAGTGAAAAATGGGCCGAGATAAAAAGCATTTTCGTGGTGTATCATGTGAAGCTAAGTGTTAACATCATAACAATGGTTATTAGGGTTGGCGAAGAAAAGCTAATTATCCGGTACGTATCAATTAGAAAGCAATTAAGTTGAAGCGGATAACAATGCTAAATTGATTTTGACGTTTTGTCTTCAATAAAGGGTTTTTAAAAATTCTCATTCCTTAAACAAACTTTTGAGCTCAGTTGGAGACAAGTCGATTATGCCCTGCCCGACCTAATTCATCAATGGAAGGGCGTTCTTTCCCATGATTGTGAAGAATTCGTTAAACAAACTATTTTGGTCGGTGGAGTGATCTGATCAATTTTAAGTCACCCAGTTTCACCTTGACTCGATTCACAGTGGCTTTCATGCTCAATTAAGCATTTGCGTGTCCCTAAATGGTCCTAAATGTTTAAACCGCCAGATGTCCCGCCATAATGAGCTTTGGAATACCTTGAGGTAGAACATGAGAGTAAAAACGGATCAATGGGTCTAAAAAACAGCAAGAGTTTTAAGGACAATCAGTTTCGTTAAAAATATCTCTTCGAGGTGTTTAATATCGCATTAAGGAGGTCGTGAACTTTTTGCATCCACTAGCTAGAACGTTCCAAAGAATGTTGTTGCACGCTAAACATAAATGCAAATTGATGAAAAGTTAGTGATGCTTATGACGAAACAAATAAATGCGGTGACAGCTGGACAAAGCTAATCACTTCAATAAAAACCGCTAATATTGGTGCTTTCTTCCAAAAAATTTCTGTTTACTCAGCTTTGCCAATGAAATTTAGGGATATGGGAAAGTAATGCTTGTGTTTACGAAGCAATTCGGCGTTCCGCAGTGTGAGAAAGATGGCAAAAAGAAAAATACACTTCATCTAGCCATGTATTATACGGAATGCCGAATTGAAAACAGCGAAGCTTTGGGAATATTTGTCAGAAATTTCCGCATCAGTTTATGCAGAGCAGAATATTCAAGGTGCTAGTATTGCACTGGAGAAATGGCTTAAAATATATAGTCAGCGAAACAACAAACATAAACAGGGCCGTGAGAAAACAATATAAAATAGGGGGAAAATAACGGGAAGTTTATATTGGAAATTAGAAAAAGTTCTCCGCAAAGAAAGCAAATATTTCGGTCAGATTAAACATGGAACAGTTTAATTTCAATTCGAAAATTCGGTGCAACACGCCAGTCTGATGAAATAAGGCCGAAAAGATAGTCATGAAAATACTCACTTAGGAAAAAATCTCAGGCAACGACCACTTGAAAATTAGAGATAAATGCGAGATAAATGCAAACATTGTATACACAATTTCTTTATTAACATGGTAACAGCCAACAGCGGCATTATTAAGCTAAAGTTTTGCAAAGAAGATCAGTCCCTTTGACGAAGCGTTAATTAAATAACTTATTTACATAACGTAAACGTTTACCAGACTTACCGAAAACAAAATTATCGGGTCGAAAGACCTTTCCAAACGAAGCGGACCGGAGCGAATCCATCGTGCCAGACTCTAAGTCGACGAGGACGCTACGCGGTACAAACCGATTGCCTGCGAGGGTGAAAAACGATAGAACCGCAAATTTAACGCAGTTTTATTCGAGATTTTTCAGAGTGGTTTACAGAAAGAATTCAACCACGATAAGAGAACTTAATGAGAACGCTTCGACATAAAACTATTGCTATTCAACACTCACCGGCACCCTCGGCAAAGTAAACATCAATTTTCTCCAACTGGGAATTGCAGTTTCCATCATAAATACCCTCCTGGTTTATTCCATGTTCCGCGCAGAGAATTTCCCAAAGCTACGATAAGACGAGACATACACGGTTACGACGTGTAAATTAACCCACAGACAAAAGAAATAACGTCACTAGCATTTTCGTAGCTACACGCAAGTTAGTGCCACAACATTAAACCACCTTGTAACCAATTTGGTTTCCACACTGGCCAACTTGAACGTTAATAATTTCCCGCATCACAGAGACAGAAAGAGGGTGAAGTTCGCTCGCCCGAACCCAGAACTGGGACTCATTTCTTTGCGGCAAACGGCCTCTAACCACCCCGTTTTTCGACCGGACTGATCGATAAATCTGCGTCTTGAGTGAGACATCAATTATTCATGTTTTCCTGTGAATCCTTTCAAAAACCGTGCGACAAACAGGAACCAGAAACCGGTAGCAGTTGTTGAGCTTTTTCCAAAACCTCGCTTTCACGCCAAAATTACTTCCGGCTGGTTGTTGAGAACTGATCTTTGATCAAAAGTCTTGTTTTGCCGGGAGATAAATAAAAAGCGATAAATAAAATGACCTCAGTATTTAGTTAACTTCCATCGGTTTTTTGGGAAATACATTTACTTCTGAAGATGGTTTGGCTTGCAAGTCTGACTGGAAGCGCAATGCCTCTTTACGGGATTGTTATTGGTCAAGAGACAAGATTTCAGGTGATCGCAACAGTGAGAAGAATTGTGCGATGGTTTTTGAGAGTAACCAGGCATATACACAGGGGTGTAGCCAGGATTTTTCAAAGTGGGGGGGGTCACACTATGTCAAAGTGAGGGTACTCAGCAGATTGTCGTGTTGTTTTTGCCACCTGTTGTAGGTTGTTTGCTTAAAAAAAGCTTACAAAAGGGGGGTCATGGACACCCCAATACTCCCCTTAGCTACGCCCCTGATATATTTGCTACTACACTTTGAAAAAAGAAATTGTGCAAGTGCATCCAAGTTGGAGGTTTGATTTAAAGTTGCACTTACTTCTCTTAACAGGAATCAAATCCATAACCCCCCACATTGGAACCTATCTGATCAGCATCCTGGCTATCAAGTACGTGGAAGGTCATT